CAGCCTTGCATCTCCAGGCTGCAGAGGAGGTGATGTGCTACACCAGCCTGCAGCTGCGGCCTCCTCAGGGCCGGGTCCCCAGCCCTGGAACCCCCATCAAATACTCAGAGGTGGTGCTGGACTCTGAGCCGAAGCCCCAGGCCTCGGGCCGGGAGCCGGAGCTCTACGCCTCCGTGTGTGCCCAGACGCGCAGAGCCCGGTCCTCCTTCCCGGACCAGGCCTACGCCAACAGCCAGACTGCACCCAGCTGAGACGGAGGCCCTGGCGGAGGGGAGAGGCACGGAGAACAGGTCCTGGGTGGGTGGGAGCTTCCTCTGTTGCAGGGGTGACGGTTACCCTGTTCGGGGCATGACTGTTTCCCAGCAAACCCCCAAAGACAGTCAGCCATCGCCCCGTCACCGGAGGTGATGTTCCCCAAGCCTCCTATCTGACCCGAGGGAGATAAGTCAGGGGGAAAGCAGGCCCCCGTTTCTTGAGGATGGAGAAAGCAGAGGCAGTGCCCCCCTCCTCGCTTCCTCCTCCTTCCGGAGTCTTACCAGGTCCTCCCGGCTATTGCTCTCATACACTGTACCGCTGACACCTCAGTGTCTCCTCAGACACAGGAAGTGGGCAGTGGGGGAGGGGGTGAGAGCCTAAGAGGACCTGGGTGGGTATACCCCTGGGGAGGCCACGGGCTCAGCTCTGGCCTGAGAACCTGGCAGGAGAATGCCAGTCTCCATCCTGCTGCCTCTGTTGTGTCCCCAAGTTTTTAAATAAAATTTCTCAAAAAGTGTTTAGATTTCATTATGGGGGCCACAGACTTGCAATAGACCCCACATGGTGGGAGTGTGAGCTCTGCTGTCGGCACAGAGCACTCCCAGGGCGCAAGAGAGGCAGCCTCATCCACACAGCAGGGGTAGGTGGTGGTGGGGGGGCTGGGGTGGGTGCCGGAGGTGGAGGCCGGAGCTGCTAGAATTTACACCGAGGACCGCCCCAACTCCCATCACCCGGAATCTGCAAGCTCAGCAGCCCCTATACTGTGCTGCACCCCCACCCTAGCCTAGCCCTCTCCTCCCAGGGCCTCTGCAGAGGCAGGTCGGACAGACGTGAGGTTTGAGGGGCAGAAGAAAGGGGAAGCTGAGGCTTTTACTTCCAAACCTCTCTCCTTCCTAGAGTCCCGGGGAAGGCAGAGTAGGGACCCGTGCGCCAGGGACCGGCCGGGTGGTGCCAATGAGAAGGAGGCCTCCTCTGCACACACACAGGCACACAGTAGCCCAGTGCCCGGGGTTCCTGGACCTGAGCACCCCCCTTCGCCTCCCCAGAAGCAGCCGGGGCCGCGGTGAGCGCAGCTGGGCTGTGTGGGC